TTGTTTTAGCTGCTGTTTTAGCTACTGTTTTTTCTATTGTTTTAGCTACTGTTTTTTCTATTGTTTTAGCTACTGTTTTAGCTGCTGTTCTACTTTTAGCTTTTTGTGAGATTGTTGTTCCTTTTAGCTGCGAGCTAGACTTTCTCTCCTTTTAGCTAGCGATGTGTTAGCTTTCGGCTTGTTGAACCCAGAGTTCTGTGAGACCTGTCTGTCTGTCCAGGGGAGAACTGGCAGAAGACTCTGCTGTTCCACTCCGTGACCCGGGACGGTCTGAAGAAACTCATCCAGCCCAAACTGTCCAGGTAACCACACCTGTCCTCGTCCTCTGGGACTTGTTGTTGGGGTGTCTTCATGGTGTCTCTGTCCCTCTCAGGCTGGACTACCTGACTCAGAAGTTGTCCTCAGCGAGTGAAGAAGACAAGCAGCAGCTTCGAGGGCAGATGGACAGCTTGGAGACGGAGATGGACCTGCTCAGGTGAGCTGGACGTCCTGAAGGTCACACCTGAGCGTGAAGCCTGATGGGTTCCATCAGCATCTTAGAACCCAGCTCTTCCTTGCTTCCTCTGATCCTGCGCTCTGATTGGTCAGGCAGAGGACGGAGGAGGAACTTATCGGTGATCGATTTGAAGAACACGACTGGCAGAAAATCTCTAATATCGATGTAAGAAAATCAATCGATTGGTGGTTCAGCTGAGGAAGACACAGCTGAGGTCTGCTCCTCTTCCTCAGTTTGAAGGGACGAAGGACGCCGAGGACATCCGTCTGTTCTGGAGGAACTTCCTGCATCCGTCCATCAACAAGGCAGCGTGGAGCAAAGAGGAGGTGCAGAAGTTGAAGGAGGTCAGCAGGAGACACGGGGAGAGACACTGGGACCACATCGCTGAGGAGCTGGGGGTGAGGACAAACCAAAGTCAGAGTTTCTTTATTTGTCCTTCCACCACACGAGGTACACGAGGTGGAACGACCGTGTGTACTCAGGGTCCCAGTTACTCCAACAATAAAATGTAAATGGTACATGGACTGCACCTATACAGCTCCTTTCTATCTGGTTCAGACACTCAGAGCTCTTTACAACAATCTGTGCCTCATAGACCCGTTCATACAGCTCTATACTAGATCTGTACAGAGAGAACTCAACAAATCATTCTAGAGACTCATCAGAGCTTCATCACATTCATGCACTGATGGACACATCAGAGGCTGTGAGGGGGTCAGTGTCCTGCCCAGGGACACTTCAGCATGTGACTGCTGGTGGATTCAAACCCCCAACTCTCGCATTGGAGGACGACTGCTCTAACCACTGAGCCACCGCCGCCCACAAGATCTAAGATATGAACTAATAATACTCTTAACACTAGTAGTACAAAAACAACACGCCGAACAGCAGCACGAACATGAGTCTGTGTGAGCAGAAGAGCACTAATGAGATCAGCAGCATGAGATCAGCAGCATGGATAATCAGCAGCACATATCAATCAATCAATCAATCAATCAAACTTTATTTATAGAGCCCTTTCCAGCAGCCAAAAGGTGCACAAAGTGCTGCACAGTACAGAAGTTAAAAACAAACAAGAATAAAAAAGATAAAAATAAAAAATCAGTCAGTTAAAAACAAAAACAATTACAATTAAAACATAGCAAGATTGTCAAAGAACTACTAGGTATTAAAAGCCTGCCTGAATAAAAAGGTTTTAAGATTAGATTTAAAATGCTCCATGTCAGTGATGGAGCGCAGGTCCTGAGGTTGCTGGTTCCAGAGTCTGGGTGCAACAACCGAAAAGGCCCGGTCACCCCATCGTTTGTAGTTGGACTTTGGGACAGAGAGTAGAAATGTATTAGATGATCTCAGTGTTCTCCTATATTCACGGACAGCTACAAGATTAGACAAATATAGTGGGGCAAGACCATTAAGAGCTTTAAAAGTGAATAATAAAATTTTTAATTTAATTCTAAAATCGACTGGAAGCCAGTGGAGGGAAAATAAAACAGGGGTGATGTGCTCACGTCTGGAGGTGTTTGTTAAAAGTCAACCTGCAGCATTTTGGACCAATTGCAGGCGTCTAATGGAGGATTGGGAAATTCCTGCATATAGGGAATTGCAGTAGTCGAGCCTTGAAGTTATAAAAGCATGGATGGCCTTTTCCAAGTCAGAACGATTTAAAAAAGGCTTAACTTTGGATAAAAGACGTAACTGATAAAAACAGGCCTTCACTACAGAGGATGTTTGTTTATCAAACTTTAAGTCTTTATCAAATGTCACTCCCAAGTTTTTAACTGTGGATCTGAACTTGGATGTCAGAGCACCAAAGTTACAAGGAGCATCATCACCAAAGAAGATGCATTCTGTCTTTCCTTGGTTTAAAAACAAAAAATTAAGATGAAGCCACTGTTTAATGTCGGCAATACAATCAACGAAAGGTGTGAGAAGGTTACTGTTTTTAGGTTTCATTGGTAAATAAATTTGTACATCATCAGCATAGCAGTGAAAAGAAAAATTATGTTTGGCTATCACTGATCCAAGGTCAAGTAGCATTGCAGTAGACAATTATGATTTTTTTAAAATCCAGTTTTCGTGGGTTTCATGAGCTGGAAGCTCAAGTTATGTAAAAATAAACAAAAACAGATAAATATTTGAAATAGTTTAAATTGTGGGCCCTGAATCTATAAACTATTAAAGATGAACTTTCTGAATGAATTATGGAAGTTACACAAGTTTTCCATCATATTCAATTTTTTTGGAAAGGGTCTGTA